AACTGCTCCTCTCCTCAACTTTGTAGAATCCTCCAGATTCTGCAAACACAGGGAAGTCACGTATTACAGTGACGCGGGCAAGACCACAGCCCATTCCCACGGAGCGTTCGCTCATGCGCCTCTACCTGCTCTGCTCGCCCCTGCCGACCATTGGGCTCTCTCACCACAGGGAAGCTGCTGCCACAGCACCTGTAGAAGCAGAACAGTGATGGGCAATAGGGACAGCGCCAGCAAGACACCCACCTTATGCTAAGCTCTAGTTTCTGTCAYGGAGCGACACTTATCTTGCTGCTCACCACGTTGCTCCACACTTGCATGCACAAAGCAGAAATACATGAGGGGAACCATCCACCACAACACTCCCCTCGCCACAGCAATCTTTCAGCTCACCTGTTTATTCCTGCACAACTCTTCCTTCCTCCATCTCCCCAGAGCCTGCTCAGAACACTGCCCAGCATCTTCAACAAAGCAAAAACACAACAAGAACAACTGGAAGTGCCACACAGAGTGCCAGAGCAATCACCATTCCAGCTCCTCACCACCACACTCTACACACACCAAAGGAACTCCAGCCCCGAACAGACACACACACACACACAGAGCAAGCACAAATATAGAGCAAAATCCTACACAAAAGGAACCCCTGCCACGCATAAGACGCTGAGTGCCAGAAAGCCCAACAAGGTCACGAGCACGTGGCTCTGATGCTCCAGACAAGGCTGGTATAGAGTCAAAGGCCATCGCCTGCAATGGAAAGGGCCGGCAAGAAGGATCCAAAACCACGCGACCACAGGCAAGAGAACCCTAACAGGGCATCGGGGAGGCGCAACACAAGACAGGCCTCAGATGAGGAAGGAGCGGCCACCAAAGTTTTGACATCTATCGCAAAAGAAAGTGGCTGCAACAGCCACAAGGTTGAAGAGACAGAGCGCCCCTTTGTAGCTCCATGAGCAACTGATAACAAAAATATCTGGCACAAGAACAACAACAACAACTACAAGTCTGGCCAGGCAAAAACACAATGGCCACCCAGAAAGGCCCAAAGCTTTGGCAACACAGGAAATAAAACCATGAAAAGGAAGGCACAAGAGCTGGGGCAGYAGCACTAGAAGACACAGCAGTGGCTGCAAAGTCACCCAGAACCAACATCTCCTGCACTAGCGCTGCGCAGTGTGGGACATGCTACAGGAGCTCAAAGAGCAACATCCAGACCTGAGCAAAAGAGAGCAAAGCTACGAYGCAAGCCACAGATTATGCAATGATGCAGTCACTCAGACACTTCTTTTTAGTATCTGAAGCCATACCAAGTTAAAATGAGTTAAAATTAAAATGTTCTTTTAGACCAATGCATAAGATCTGAGCAAAGAGAGGTTTGGATTTCCTCTGCAAAGCGTCTGACACAAATGAAACATTTGAAGCTACACTGTAACTTACTTATGSGCAGAATGACTTGAAACTTACACAGAAGGGGAGGAGGACAAGAAGACACCATCACCASATACTAAAAACAGCATTTCAGCATTTTTCACCACTTACTTGGAGGCAGCAACTACACACATTCAGCAATTTGCTGCACAGAAAAGCCGAGTTCCACCACAGGCAATTTTCCAGCTACTCACTGACATCAGACCCATTTTGAAAGCTGTATTTATCTTGGATGGCAAAAACAACCTTCATGAAGCCCTGTCAAAGTGCTGCCCCAGCCCTGCTCGGAGTTATTCCATATCTGAAAAACAAGATTGGAACAAGGTTAGGAAAAAAAAAAAAATCACATCATTGGCATTCCTTCCTTCACACAAAATTTCTTCCTAATGTGAACTGGAACACTACATCAGAGTAGAGGAACCTCAGTTAATTCCAGATTAACTTAGCCTGCCAAGTCATGGCAAAGTCTGATAGCAATGATTTTAAAAATGGACAGACAGCCTCAAGGGGAAAAAAATATGACTATGTTCATCTTCTGATCTTTGATACAAATTTTCATCTTTGATCATCATCAGGAAGTTGGAACTTAGAGGCGTGTGGGGTGTCAAATTGCACTACTTTAAGACAAAGCTCCAGAGTTCTGTGCAAAAGCAGGTGGTAGCAGTGAACACCTAACTCAGTATTTGTGGCTGGATRAAACACAAGACAACTGAAGGTGGGGAGATACAACACAATGAAGCTGCTCACGTGCACAGTGAACCTATGCAAGTCCTGCTGGTGCCTGCTGGTCTCTGCTCACCACCACGAGTGCCATTGTCAGTCCTTTCTCAAGRCACTGGCTAGAGTTGCAGAACCCAACATCCACCCTCCGAACCACAAACTGAGGCACTGAAAGCAAAGCAAAGGGTCTGTGTGATTCCTGCTGTCCCRATCCACTGTCGGGGGAGGTWTCGATACGATCCCAAGAGCGAGATTAAGACACAAAYGAGGTCAAATGCCATACAACCTTATAAGCTCTATTTTCATAATAGCGATAGGACAGAGAGAAGAAGAAGAAGAAAAGGAAAACAAAAAGGAAAAGAAGAAAGATAAGCAAACAAGCAGGAGAGATGCAGCAAGATTAGTTACCACCACCACCAGTCGAGTTACGTTTCGTCGTCTCTGTCTCGGTGCAGGTGATGATTTTCTTGAAAGAGAGTTGAGAAGAAGGAAAAGAAGCTTCTCTCTTTGCGCGCATCTCCCCCCCCCTTGGGGGGTAAAACGTAGTCCTTTTATTGTCCCAGTTCTTGAAGAGTCCACCCACTTTCTTGAAGCTTTTTGCTTTGGTGCTCCTCTTCCCCCCGCCCCACTCMACYGCCAGCGCCRCTCGTCAGGCTCTGCTGAGCATTGYTGGGGTCTTGGGCTAATCCATGAAGTTGTAAATTGTGTAGAGATAGCAAACCTCGAGCTAGTGTCTCAGTCTTCCCACAGACAGGATGCCAAGGCCAAGAAGTTGTTAATTGTATGAAGATAAGACACCTAGCATATCTCAGTCTTCCTAGAGACAGGAGGAAACTATATGGCAACAATGTCAAGACAGAACACAATCCGCAATAGTCTCTTACATAAATACAATCCACGATAGTTTCTTACACTGCAGACCAACACTCCCTTGAGAGCAAGAACAGAAGCAGCAAAAGAATCCTTGTGCCACATGGCTGCCCACTCCTGCAGTAATTCATCTAGTCCTTAACAGCTGTGGCAGCAGGATTTACACTGCAGAAAGTCTCCACTGAAAGGTCTTGGCTACAGACAAGCTGCCTGGTTTATAGGAATCGAGCACTTGAAATCCTCCATACCCAACAGTGTGATGAAAAGCTGAAGAATAACAAATTCTTCATAGATTGATACCTAATAGTTAACCTGCATATTTAACCCCTTGATATAGATTTAAGTCATTTAGGTTTAAATCATTTTCATCATTTAACCGTTGCCACATTCCACCTCTCTAGCGCATTTAAAATTCAACTACTTGAGGATGGCTTTGCTTTTCTCACCTTCTAATAAGCTTTTAAAAGGTAAGTACCTTTTAAGTAACCACATGTGCACTGCTGCTCTTCTTCCCAGATGGAGGGTTCCTCCAGGTAGAGGTGACTGAGTCGGGGAGGCCTAGCTCTGTATTTTCAGGTGCATGATGCGGCACCAGGAGACCACAGAGGTGTTAACAAGCCCAGAGAACCAACACAGGGCTCCAGGGCAGAATTAAAGAAGTGGTTCTGAAGAGACTAGACAGTCCTACACCAAAACTAGAGGACCCAAACAGAGCTGGAGCACAAAAGGAAGCATTCAAAGAGCACTCCAGAGTAAAGCAAAGGTGTTTCTGGGGCTCTGCAGCAGCAAGAGAACACTCAACAGCACAACAAGACTCTCTGGGGGAATCTACTGCAGAGTAAATGCATCTCGTGGAGAGCGGAGAGCCACTGCCCGAGAAGCCTCGGCAACAAAAGAAGGCGGGGGTGAAAGAAGCCTGAGAGCCACGACCAGGTCCTGCCCAGGACAAGGAGCCGCCCTGCCCGGCCCTGCCCTTCCCGCCTCCTCCCCGGCGCGCTCCCGTCCTCCCTCCCTGCTCCACAGCCCGAGGCGCCGCTCTCGCCCACCACGTCCCGCCCCGCCGCCCTTCCTGGCCCCGGCGCAGCCGCCCCGAGCGTGGCCCGGGACCCCCCTCCCCAAGCTGCACCCCAGCCCCGAGCGCCCCCCGGCCGCGCTCACCTCCTGCGGCGCCGGCGGCTCCTCCTCAGCGGCAGCCCCCGCCTCGCAGCGCGGCCCCGACGCGGGCTGCCCGCAACGTGGCCGTGACCATGCCCGACCCCCGCAGCCGTSAGCGCCGGCCGCAGCTGCCGCCCATCACCCAGCGGGGCGGGAGGAGGGTCACGGGCCCCATTAGGGACAGCTGGGGCAGCCAGGGCAGCAGAGCCTCCCCCAGGACCAGCGGGTGTCTGAAAGCGGGAGGTGGAGCCCTGGCCCTGGGGGACACTAGAACTAGCCTACGACCCCACCGGGTAGTGGAGAAATTCCCGTACAGACATCTGAAACCTGCTTTGTAAATGTTGCAGCTGAATAAATCGTGCTCTTCGTGAACTCCACTAACTGGTTGGAATGCAATTGGACCTGTGGTCAAGTGACTGCTTGTGAATCCCTTGTGGGCAGAGCCCAGCCTGACAGCTACCACAGTATTGGGTATTGGACCCATTAAGAGAGGAATCCAGCTGCCCTCCCATCCCTTCTAAGCTCTGAGGACCTGCAGGAACCCAAGGGGATTCATCTCTTCCCAAATTTAACCCCCCTTCAAACTCAACACTGAGCAACAAGAAACACAAAGCTCTGTCATGTGCTGCAAGGAAAATGCAGGGTACAGCGAGAGCTCTGGGCAACCCAAGTGGTCTGTCAAGAACCACACATCCAAAAAGGAGACAGAGGAGTGCTAAAACTTTACTGGAGTGAAGGGAGAATCCATCAGGCAGACCCCTGTGGGGTCTCTCACATGGCTGGAGGACTCAGCCCCCTTTTATCCTCACTTCCTGACCAAGGCAGCCCTCTTCTTTTCCCCTGCCAAGGGGGAGATGCTCCAGTCAAGCGACTCAGACCCCCTGGCCAAAGAATGGGTGGCAATTCCCTCTGTTAATGCACCCAACTCTCAGCATAGGCTCCTTTGTCCCACTCACTCATAGTTCTGCTCCATCCCCCCATGCCTATATTTGTCCCACTCATCAGCCAAACCAGGTAGGGTAAATCCATTATTTGTAAAGACACCAGCTTGGGTGTTCTGCTCCCTTTGGACTGGCAGCACCTTCTTCAAATCCAGCAGCAAGAAACATTTTAGCTTCAAAAYGTCCAGCCTTGCTGACCTCCCCRGGCTTAACAGGAAACCTGTCACTTGCCACTGTCTCCTGAAAGGTCTGGTACAGAGCAAAACATCTTCTCCAAGGAGACTGACCRTCTCCTCCACTGCAGCCTGCTCTCAGTAGCACGGCCCTCTCAGCAAACAAAAGGGTATGAGAAACTTTCACATCTGCTCTGAGCACTTGCATATAAGAGAACAACATCACAACGAGGGATTCATGGACTTCATCTTCACTCTATGCATGATCCCATACTGTGAGCTTGCTTTAATGCATCAGAAATGGAYGCTTTGGGGCACTAATATTCACAGAATCCATACGCACTCCATCAAGGAGGATTCTCCATAAAAAACTCTGACAGCCAGAGCGCTGCTACGTAACAAACCYTGACAAGCAGCTCATCACACTGATCCTCCAACTTCGGTTTCTTCTGCCAGACGTAATCAAAGGTGGATTTTTCACATCCTGTTGCCAGGGCCTCCCCAGCAGCTCCTGCAGCAGCTCCCTCCCCTCATCAGAAGAACCATCAAAAAAGTACTTAATACAGTGCAAGGAATGGGGAAGTTGCTGGTGGGCAGGGGACTCAAAGGTCCAATCTTTAGCACAAAGAGAAAACTGTCTGATGTAGGTGAGGTGGTGGCAGTTTGGGCTGAGGAAGTGGTACCTCTTTGTGCCACGCTGCTCCCTGCACATATGGCAGGAGGCTGCTATAATGGTGTCCAATAACAGCAAGGACATTGGGAAAAAAATAAGAGACTAAAAAATTAGGAGACTACAGGATTTGCCAGAAGGATTTCCAGTCCCTCAGGGAAGCAGCAGAGGGAGAGGATCACGGCACGTGCAACTAGGAGGCATCGTCCACACAGAGGCCTAAAAGACCAAGCCCAGAGCATGGACCCCGTGGCCCTTGATTATGAAGCCTGTTTCAGAGCCTGCAAGAAGGGGGAATAAAACGCACACGTTGCAAACAAACAGGAGGCCACGATGCCTCTGCAGTTCAGACAGGCTTCTGCAGTCAGCGCTGTTTAGGGGCTGCACCTTCTGCAGCTCTGTACAGTTGATCTTCCCAGAAGCGTGACACCAGGGTGAAGTGCATCTCAAAGAAAGCCATGGGACAACCGCTTTGGTTTCAACCAGCTCACAGATAAAGCACCAGCATTCCTGCCAGGAAATCCCATCCAAAGATGATGTTAGGTTGGGCACTAAAGCAACAGATCATAATTCTGACACTGCATCCAAAAGGGCAAGTCTTGCAGTGATGAGTTAAACAACAGCACTCTCCTTCCCACAAATATCCTTTGGTGGAGAGGGGCAGCCAGGCACAGCAGCTTCCCCACCACACAATGGAATTAGATCCCAGACAGAGGCTGCCTTCTGAGTGTGGAGCTGTACATCTGAATGCCTGCAGTGGACCAGAGGCCTGGCCTATTCACATTTACCCTCTATTATTTCTCCTGTGTCACTTCTCCTGTCTGAACAGGCTCTTCCATCTTCTCAGGTTGTCAGCAGACAGGTGACCTGTGAGAAAGCAAAGAAAGGAAAACATTCAAAAGGAAATCTAACAGATTCATGGAGCCTCAAAAAGTTTCACCGTTTCCCCCGACTCTTGCCCTAGACATTATAATCTGGGCAAGTCTTATCTCTTTTGTCATCATCTACCTGCCATCATGCCAGAAAAGGGAAAGAAGCAATACTTTCCTTTAAGATGAATCTCCCTCGCAGCTGGGTCAAACATGTGAAAAAGCACTAACTGCTTATCAGGAATTAAGAAAGTTTTTCTTAATTAAAAAATATTTTATTTCCTAAAACACCTGCTATGAAAGAAGAATCTCACCAGTTTATTTTTCGTATAGAGTGGCAAATGGAAAGGTTTAAGTCTGACAAAGGCACAAGACTATAGAATATCCTTCCCCCTGTCCCCCAGCTCTTGGTCTAGTTCCATCCTTACTTGTGCTTACGTGTTTGAGGCAAGGAAGCACTTCAAAGTGAAGAATGCATGAGGTGAAAATGATCGTGAAATACAATACCAGAAATGGTTGGAATTGTCCAACACTTGACAACGGGGATGTACAGCACAAAGCCCCGAAGGAACTCACTGGACCGCAGAGGACACAAACTGAGGGAACATTCGGATCAAACAGGAAAACAGAACAAATGCAAGATTTTGTAAGCAAGTTTAAATCTAGTGTGAATGCAGGAATACTGGTGTTCTCCAATTCCTGGGCAAAGACAACAGGAGGGGTTTTGTTGTTGGGTTTCATATTCATCCCATTGCAGGCCATAGGGAGCTGATAATCCCCACCGCTATTGGGAGGCTTTTGCTCGTTTGACCTTCACTGAAGGGCCAGGTTGGAGGGAGAGGAGGGAAGATGTGAGGGAAGAAACCTTCCAATTGGGGAGCAAAGCTAGAGGGAGAGCAGATTTGCTCGCTTTTGTCTTCAGGGAWGTTTAGCAARGTGAGCTGAAGGGTTCTTTTCTAATTCTGCTTCTATTACTGCCCTTTGGAGATTGCTCCTAGAGAGATATAGAGTTCTGCACAGAACTTCTGCAGAGAACTGTATTGAGTTCTGCAGAGGAAAATCTGCATCTCAGGACTTGCTCCTGAGACAAATCGCAGTTCACTTGCTAATTCAGAAAATAAAACTAATTAATTAGAACAGACCTTGTCTCAGCAGGGATTAAGGGCTTTTTATGAAACATATCCAGAACATATACAGGAAAAACAGCATGATCACAGCAATAAATCTAAATCGTTTTTTGCTGAGCAGCTGCGTTATTCACAGTCCTTGCTCCAGCACTGCAGTTTCTCCTTCCCTAGCTGCCTTCCGTTTGGGCACAGAAACTCCTGACAATTATGCCATTAAAGGTGATGTCCGTAATGGAACAAACTGCCTGCACTGGCCACCTGAGTCTTATCTGAACAGCAGCAGAGTCCAGGCAACACAGTTCTTAGATTGGCTTAGATTGGCTCTTAGTCGAGAAGAAAGGAGGAAAGCTCCTGGATACGGGATCTGCAGCAAAAGTGGCAAGCGGGGCTGCTTGTGGGGAGCACTGGCTTAGGGATAAGCTGCAGGGTGTTACTTCCCGGGAAGGGGGAAGCCGAGGAAGGGAGCATTCCTGGAGCACAGGCAGGAGGGTGAGGTGTCAGTCCCTGCACATCAGAGACAGAGGGGTGCAGGAAGGAGGACTAAAAGGATAAAACAATAAGGAGGTTAAGAGTAGGGAAACCAGCATTGCTGCATTCAGCTCCACGCTCTCCACTTTCTTTTCCCTCCAAACTTTTCCAGTAAAGAGAAATTTTGTCTTTTGTTGGAGGTCTTCCTTAAGAGATTAGGGCTAAGAGGTCACTGATGCAGGGATGATCCTGTTTGCTTGCTCTGATGCAATTTACAGGTCAAGTAACAGAACAGCACAACTTTTTCATGCCATCGCTTTGCAAGACAATGGTCATGTGCAAATGCAGGAAGTTCAGATTCTTTTCCAGGTAACTTCCCCTTCATTTTATACTTCTCCTTGGAGAAGTTCCTTGAAAAACCTTCTACTCACCAAGAAATCCCCTGCTACAACAATGGGTGTGCAGTTGCTGGTCAGCAGCAGTAGGTATCACAAAAGGAGCCACAACTTCAAGATGCTGCAAGGAAAGACAAGAAGCCCTCGGTGAGAATCAGGTTTTCGTGTCCTTCAGAATTTCCCCTCTTCACTTCAGAGGACAATAAAAACTCAAGATGCAGATTATTACTATTAAATATTCATGTTATATTTCTTTACTGTCAGTTATCATCTCTCATTGCCTTTCCACTCTTTGAAGGAATTCTGCTTCTAATAAGAACATGGCTTTCAAAGGCAAGATGGTCAGTCCTACAAAGCRCTGCTTCTTTTCAAAAAGACACCATTTTTTCCGTTAAATTAGGATATTTTACAAACCGAGGCTAACTCTGCATCTTGCTTTTTCATAGTGTATATGTTATTCTACTGAGCATAGTTAAAAAGAAGATGTTTTAGAATCAGAACTGAAATCCAGTAAAGCAAGGGATTACATTCTTTTTCTATTTTGCTGCTCCAGAGAGGCTCTCAGGGCTCTCTCCATTAAARCTGAAATTTTCTCCACATATAGGCCAAAACAGACTCTAAGGACCTAGGAAAAGGCAGGTTGTAGTAGTAGCTTTGGGGGTCTGAGCTAGAGTAGAAACCRAGCAGCTCTGTCCTAACTTCATCATAAGGTCCTGTAAGTTTCTTTTAGATATCACATTCCTGAATTGGAAATCACCCGGATTTTAGATAGTAATACAGTTCAAGAACCCATTTTAAAATGCAGTCAAATGAGAGATGCAAGTTTCCTAATAGCTCCCATTTAACTTCTGATACAGGTAAGAAGCTTTCCTATCCTAAACATGGGACAAAAACACCACTCACCTATGGATTGATACATCCCCCCAGGGGCTGTTTTTGAAGCTTCATCAGGTAAAGGAGAAGTTCCAAGGAGAGCATGAGCAAAACACCCAGGAAGACCAGGATCCRCAATAACACGCACCTCCTTGACAAGCTGCAAAGGGCCAAAGTCATACAACCCAAGTCAGACAACCAAAACTCTACTGCCAAATAACTTCCCCTCCAAAAATATTTATTTATCAACACCCCCCCAAGAATATTCACCTCAAAACATACCCCCGTTCCCATTTTAAAAATTCCCTCAAAGAAATATTCTTGGGTTGTCTCAGGATGTTACTTTTCCCAGTTTCTCTTTCTGTGCTTTTTTTCTTTTTTTTTCATTCGTCGGTCTCAGTCCCACAGCTGCTCCTCTTCCAAAAAGAAAAACCTGCGCTTTGAGGGTGATATGTACATTTCTGCCACTGCTACCCCGACTGAAGCAGGCAGCTTGCACACAGGCGTTTCTAAGAGCAAGGCTGCGTCTTACCTCGTTGCTTCTAGGAGCTTCCTGCGGCGGGCGACACTCCAGGGTAGCAGCGAAACCGGGCGCGCGGCTGCCGCTCCGCTCGCAGTTCCGCTTTCGAGACGCGCAGCGGCAGCACCGCCAAGGGGGACGCGGGGCGCGGGCGCGCCCTCGTCTGCAGCGCGAATTTATGG